ATGGGACATGAGGTAGAAATGTTTCCCTACATGAATAGCTCACATTTAAAATAAAATTAAATAATTATATTACTAGGAAAAAATACTCATTGTACCCATCATTTGAAATACTACACAGTTAATCCTTTCAAACATTTTTGTACATGAATTGCACATAAGGCTCAATGTTTTGTCTAAACAAAGTGCATGGAACATCATAGTAATTTAAAACACACTATTTTGGAAAAGATGTTTTAAAAATGTGTGGTTATACATATATGTAAAGGTATGCTTCCATATTGTGCTTGTATATATGGATATATGGCTATATATACATATACATATATAATACACATTATTTTGTATACATTATATACGAAATTTAGAGGCATTAATGAAATAACACAAATTCTCAAATTAAATTGAGTTACTTCTGGCTTACAACAAGCTTTTTTAAAAAGGGATTTATCTAAACAATATTTGTATTGACAACATCTGACCCAATGAACCAATGAAAGCTTTAAAGGAAGTACTTTTCAAGAATTTTTATTCTTCAAGTAGCAGCTATATAACCTTTAGTTTTCATAAAACCCTGTTCTCTCCCAGGACACAGCCCAAGATTACACGTCCAAGCAGCAGCTTTGTGGGAATGGTATAAATGCATATAATAAGCAAATAATCCTACAGCTTGTGCATTGAAAATATTATGGTGGGGGCCCCTGGGGATCGGGGACAGAGAGCAGTGCTGTTTTCCCAAGCTCCAGGCTCTATAGCAGAGTAAATTCAAAGACTAAGCAGCAAAAACTAATACATCATGTTTGTAATTAGTTGACCAGAGGGAGAAAGAAGACACTCAGAATAAGATTCAATTACACTAAATAGCATCTGAAACCTGGGATCACCAAACTTAAAAATAAAATAAAAACTTGTGAGTGTGGGAAAGTAAATTTAATTTTCTTCTAATTTCCTAGCTACATTTAAAGAAAATTACCTAGGAAAATTGCTATGAAATTAGTCCTTCAAGCCTTAATAGGCCAGGCAGGTCAACTATGTCAGTTCTAAAACTATATAATTTTTCTAGTATTACTTTCAGTAAGATGAAACAAAGGGTAGCAAATGTGCCTCTCAGTTGAAGTCCTCCATTTATTTTGCCCCTACACATTATGTAGAGAAATCCCAATGCTCAGGAAATAGTCATTTCCCTTTGAGAGCTCAGCCCTCATAAAATTCATATATAATTTCTGCTGACAGCAAATTAATATAGATTCAAATCTCATGAATATTGTATACTTCATAGGACTGCTTTTCAAAAAGCATATCCATTTAGTTAATGGCTTTTAAGTAAGCCTATGATTCTAACAATTAGATCTTTCTAAAATATGTTGTATTCTGTTGTAAACAGTTTGCTATAAAATCATTTGGAGTCTTCGTTAAGATTAGGAAAATAGAAAATTAAGCCTTAAATGCAGCCCTTGATACAATGACATGTATTCTGCTGATTATAATAATACTATAAATTCAAAGGGCCAGATAAATGATCATATGTTATTTTCAGAGTTGGCAAGCTATGAGTCTAAAAAAGATTCTAGTTTCCAAATCAGTGGCAACCTACCCAACATTAAATGACTCAAAAAAACTTCAATTTAGGTTTTCTAAGGGAAAAAAATCATAATGATATAAGGTCATTTGGAGCAACAATACAGAAAAAGCAGATAAACTCACAGTAGGGCTATCTCATCTTCCAAAATTTCAATCCAACATACTCAGCAGGTGCGCCTCTAGGCTCTTTCTTCCCTCCTGCTATAACTTTAACAGTGGTTCTGCCCCTCTCAAAAGGCAAACCTTTTCCTGGAGCTCTGGAGCCCATCTTGCCAGCAAGAATCTCCTTTGTCCCCTACACCACCAATACTCCTCTCTCTACTGAATCACTCCTATTAACATAAAACTTGGTTAATAGTATCCGTCTTAAAACACAATAAAACAAACTTCCTGGACCCCCGGCCCTATATCAGCTATCACTCAGTGTATGTTACACAGCACTGTAAAAATCCTCAAAACAATTGTTTCTCCTTATCTTCAAGTACACACTTTTTTTCTTTTCTCTATTTAATCCACCAAGACATTTAATCAAAGCTCTCCACTGAAACAGCCCTCAACAATGTAACCAATGATATTTACCTGCTCAAAAACAAGAACAAACTTTTTATCCTTTGTTGTGGATTGAATTATGTCCCCTCAAAAGGTATGTTGAGGTCTTAACCCCTGGTACTTGCGGAAACAAACTTGTTGGGAAATGGACTCTTCATGGATGTCATAAAATTAACATTAAGTCATATTTAACTGGGGGAGGAGGTGCTAATCCAGTATGACTGGTGTCTTTGTAGGAACATAAGACAGAGACATAGATACACCAGAATGCCACGTGATGATGGAGGCAGAGATTAGAAGGATGTCTCTACAAATCAAAGAACATCAATAGCTGTCAGCAACATCAGAAGCTAAGGGGAAGGCATGGAACAGACTTTCCCCCAGATCCTGCAGAATGGTTCTGCTGTCACCTTGATTTCAGACTTTTGGCCTTTAGAACCGTTAGAGAACAAATTTCTGTTGTTTTAAGCCACTCAGTTTGCGGTAATTTGTTATGGCAGCCATGGGAAACTAATATATCATCTTAGCCTAACTTACCTCCTTATTTCTGCTCTAGACTTCTTCCCCACATTCTCCTACCCTGCCCAGCAGCAATGAGGTCAGTCTTTCTAAAGTGTTAATCAGATCAGGTCACTTCTCTGCTTAAGATCATCCATCTAACTTTCTGTCACAATAATAAAAGAATAGACATAAAAATTAAAAATAAAGAATAAAATAAAAATTCCTTAAAACCTGTATGATCTGGCTGCTGACCCCCTCTCTGACCTCATCTGTCTTTATAATTCCCTTCAATAACTGCATTCCAGTCATTCTGGTCTTCTTACCATCTCTTGAACATGCCATGATTGCTGTCAATTCAGATTTTATTACACTGTTCCTTCTTCTCAGGGTATCTCCCCTTCACAAATATTTATCTGTTTGTAGTGTCACATCATTCAAATTCCATGGCCACCTTCTCCATTTCATTCAAGTATTAACAGATGTCACCTCCTTAAAGTGATTTTCATGTTTACAGTAACTAAAGCAATCAACCACTGTCTAGTCAATCTCTCTATAGCCAATATTCTGATTTTATACACCTATCCAGAGCTGAAATTAACTGTTCCACTTTTATTTTGCTTACTTATTTTCTTCCTCCTCTCTCAAATATAAAGAACTTTAAAGTCACAGATTCTGCAGTGCCCCAGTGTCCCAGTGACTAAAACAGTTCCAGGCTTGAGCAGGTGCACAATAAATATTTGCTGAATGATTGGAAAATGGATGGGAGTTGGTCAAGAAAATACACAGGCATATCATTTAGGAGGCTGTTATAATAATATATTTAAGATATTATGGGGGTCTGAATCTAGATAAATGATATTTGAAATGGTGAAATATGAAGTGATCTGACATATTTAGGAGAACTTAGTGGCTCATTCAACATAAGTGAGAGAGGATAAAGGAATTTATTGTAACTGACATACTTCTGAGCTGGATAAATGAGTGGATGATGCTGTCATTCATTGTCAAAGGAAATACCAACAAGATAGAAAGGTTAATAAAGATATATTTGAAAGGAAGTATACCATGGTGGTAAAAGATATGGGCCTAGGTCTGTAAAGCTGTTTGTACTTGTCAGTGCTACCGTCTAACAATGAGCTACTATTTTCAACCCTAAGAAATCTGACTTCTGTCCTTACTATGGATGCATTTCATTCTTCTCAGGTATTTTTTCTTAATTTGCATGTTCTCAAACACAACAGATCCTGATGCTCACTTGCTCCTTCTTGAAAGTACTTGCCATGGATTCCTGTGAGACCACATTTTTCTGCTTTCTTCCTACTGTTCTAGCTACTCTTTCCATTAAGGGTCAGATAAATTCCAAACTTTTCTATTGTAACTGACAAAGTCTTCTAAAGTCTAGTCTCTGCCCATATTTCCAATCTCACCTCTTTTAAATCTCACTCAGCCCACCTCCACCAAGAAACTTTCCCTGATTTCAAGTCTAGGATAGTTCTGTACAATTATCTAACCAAGGCATGATGTTTTCCCTTTCTGAAGTACGTTTGAGGATTTTACCTGTATGTGAAATTTTCAAGGTACCTGATAGAAAATGCCAACTTTTTTAATTGGTAAAATAGACCTCCTTATAACATCTTTTTCTGTTACTCTAAAATTTTCAACATACCACTTCTGATTATTTTTCTGTAAGTCATTTATTGCACTTTCAGCATGAATATTTACCTACTTTTATCCTTAACTTGAAACATTTTAAGACTAACAGAAGACTGCTATCACTAATATTATATTGGCAAAGCAAGAAAGGAAATATTTATTCTAAATAATATTAGCAATGTTAAGTAGTTGATCTAGTATACGTTTTAATAAAGCAAGAGCAAGTTCTCCCTGGATGATTCAAAATCATGTCTCTTCATTATGTGGTTTCTATCCCATCTCCCAGGGAAGACTCCAAGACTATCTTCTAGAGGTAGCATGAAATCAGGTAGGCAGGGGGCAAAACTTGGGGATGAGTGGATGACATGACTTGGAGAAATGTACTAGGAGGTTGGGCTGAAAAGAAGCGGGACGTTTCAACATAGGACTAGCACAGAGTTGAAGATGACACCCAGTCTGCTAAATATAGGCATTTTCTCCACAATAGATGCATAGAATACTACTATTTCTCACCATTTGGTTACTTCTGTAGATATAATTGGAATAACATTTTTCAACATATATTCCTGTAATATATAAATAATAAAGAGCCATATTATGTCCCTCATGAATTAATTTTCAGAGACAATATTAAATGCTATATTTTTACTTACTAGACATTATATACTAACTGTGTCTTCAAGGTATACATTTTTAGCCTTTGAATGAAATGTACTCACGCTCACTTTTCCACTGCGATTATCTTCTTCTCTCACTGCCAGAGCCTTCAGAAAATTGTCTTGCAGGTCTTTACCAGCACTTGTTAATGTCCTATAAAAAGCAGATCTTCAGTCATATTAGATAACAAATATATTTAGAATACTATGGGTAAAAAAAAAATGCTTCTTTATTCCAAATGACAATTCCTTATAATACTAAAACTATACATACACATTACACATAATCATTATAAACCACACACAATTATTATAATCTACTAGATTCTTACATTTAATTTCATATAGTCTTTATTTACAAATAATTAGAATCAAGTTTATAAATAATATACATGCCTATATCAATACACATGCCAGATTCAGTTAATTCCACTCACATGCTCATTTTATTCTATCATGCCATGAAAATTCAATTTATTCCCCTCACAACCCACAATGAATTTAAATTGCCTATAATTTAAGCATAATTTATTTATTTAATATAAAAGAATTAAAATACTAGTGACCTAGGCCAACTCAGTTATTGAAACAGAGCATTCATTTTAGCTCCATGAATGGGGATAATCAAAGCAAGACAGGACACTAGGTTGTCTCTGTCAGATAAAAGAATGTTAAGAATTCAAAAGAGAAATTTTTCTTTATTTCTCTGGAAATAAATTTTAAAGAAAATTCATCACAAAGATCTCAGTCAAGCAACACTGAGCCACAAAATAAAGAGTGAGTTCAAGAGTGATTAGTGAAATAATAATCCCTTATTTGGCAATTTTCTATATATTCAAAAAACATTTCTATTGTGTGTCCATTATGTACCAGAGACTGCACCAAGGACAAAGATGAATGGCACATAGTTCCTCCTCTCAAGTTCCTGTGGTCTCAAAGAGGTGAACAGATACAGAAACACTGTAGTATAATACCATGGGATAACTGTAATAATAGAGATATGGATGGATATTGAGGAGTTCGTAAGAGAAATATCCTACTTATTCAAGGAAAAGTCATTTAACTTAAGCTTTCAAGTAATTATTGAACTAAATGTTAAAAGATGAGATAGCATTAGCCAGCTTGGGGGTTGGGGTGGTGGGAGAGGGAAAGAGTTATCAGTAACTATAAGAGAGATATGAAACTGCAAAGTGCCCTTGGGTAATTGCAAAAGTCAGACGGTAAGTGCAGGAAATGAGGGAGAATTCATATAATATTAAAAATAAAAGCTAACATTTGAATACACATACTGTTATAAATACTTAGCTAAGGTCACACAGCTAATAGGAGCAGACCTATATTCAAACCCAGGCAGTCTGGTTCTAAAACACATTCTCATAACCACTAGGCCACATTGCCTTTCCAGGAAGGCCTTGTATGCTACACTAAGAAGTTAGAACCTTGTCTTTTAGGAGATATTGAACCACAAGGGTCTTATGCAAGGAAATAAGACAGTCAACTTTGTTTTTTAGTAAAAATATCCAGCAGCTGTGATAAATATAATCTAGAGAAGAACCACAATGGAAAGATTAATTAGGGGGCTTTAGAAGAGATGAAGAAGACCTGATTTAAAGCAGTGGTGGTAAGAATAGGAAGGGATAGATTTGGAAAATATTTTAAAAGGTAAAAGACCTTGTGATTTCTTTTTGTGAAGAGTTAAAGAGAGGCTACCACCAAGTTTCTTTAAATCAACATAGCCATGTACAATATGTAACCTACCAATTAGTTTGTTGAACTATAAATGCAACCCATTAAGTTGATCGTAACTTGTCAGCTTCTTCTATTCTAGATCTGTGTGCCTTGGCTTATAGTGTCAGTATCAACTAATAGTCCAAAACATCTAAATATACATAAAAATAACTAGTAATTAGTACCAATAGAGAGAATCAGATATTTGAGAAACTACTCAATTTACTGTTCTATTCAAAAGTGAGACAATACACCTATGCACTATCCTAACATTAAATCTTCAAAATATCAAATTCATTTTGTCAGTAGCTTGCCCAGAAAACATGTATTGTTTCTCCACTGCTCACAGGATAATCTTACCACTTGGTCAGTTTCTACCTAATTCCTCCTTATGGTCTATATTTAAAACTAGAATGAGTTAGAAATTCTCTGTGAAGTTTGAACAGAGAATTAGCTCCCATAGACCCACAGACCATCTAAAAATTATAGTTGAAGGAATGAAATAGACCTTCATATGTGGTCTTCTGTGATAGTTATAGACACCTGTTGGTTTTACCTCCCTGATATCCCTCCTGACTTTTTGATAACAGGACCCCAATTTTTATTTGGGAAATGGTCCTTCTCATATTCCATGCTTTGGTAAACAGTCAGTCAAGGTACCCACTCACTTACAACTCTTACCTCCCAAACTTCAGCTAATGAATATGCCTTGGCTTAACCAGTGTCACTTCAGCTCATGAGAATGCACATCATACACAGAGAGACACAAGGATGAAAAGCAACTGGAGTTGTAGTGATTATCCTTAATTGCAACTACTTAGCCTCATCACTCAACTTTCTCTTCAAATCTACGATAATCAGTGCTCCTCCAATAAATCCCCTTTTTAAATCTATTTCATTAGAATTGGTTTCTTGCTCACAACCAAAGCCTCTAATTGATACAACTGGTATCCAGTTAAGATACTGCAGATCTCCTAAAGGTTTCCTTATAGTAAGTCTACTCCCCACTCCTCCCACCTCCTCAAACACACTTTATTTTGTTGTAAACCTTTAGAACATTACAGATAAGTTAAAGTCCAATTTGATCACCAACCCTGAAGCCAAAACACCAAAGGTAACCATCATTATCAGGTTTGCATGCATCCTTTAAGGTTATTTTCTATTGTTTATTTGTATATGTGTACCCATAAAAACATACACAGTATCATTTGGTGACTTGTTCATTTTACTACATATTTTGCAACTTACTGTTTTATTGCATTGCTGTTATTGTTCCTGAGAATGGGTGTTTATGAGAGTGTCAAGGAAGATCAAAATCATCCTCAGGTCTGTCAGACATGAAAAGCCAGAATATATGACTAGGTACCATTCAAAATAGGGAAGGAACTCCTAACGTTCTGGCAGGCCTGGCTCTCTTACTAACTAATGGCTGAGGTTTTTACCAGATATCTAGGCAGGACAGGAAAAGGGAGTAACTGTAGTAGAATTTTTGCTTTCCCTGGACACTTACCGTGGCATACCCTTTTCTCCCTTCTTCGTAAAAATAAAGTCTCAGTTTTCACCTGTAGCTTCTTAGAATAAAGACTACATTTCCTAGCCTTTTTTTTCAACTATTTGTATCCATATGACTAACTTTTGCACAATGGGATCCAAGTGAAAATTATACACAACTTTTAGGAAGTGTATTTAAAGGGAGTGGGTACCATTTTTCCCTGAAGTCAGTATGCAGTAGAAAGACTGTGGCTCCAGCTGCCATCCTGACGTAAGTGGGAGGCCACAATTATGGAGAAACAAGAGAAAGGAGCATGGTCTTTGACACCTTGGAGAACCAACCCAGCCCTGACTGACACCATCTGGACTTCTGGAATATAACACGGAAAAGGGTTTATAATTTTGTTTCTGCCACTACCATTTGGGGCTTTTTCCTACTATTTTTAACTAAACTAATCTAAACAGATACATTCACCAGGCGAAACACTAACCCATCTGACAAAGATGTTGTTGAGGGATTGGCTTCGTAATCAAAGTAGACTTTAATCTTACCTGTTATATTCTAAGGATGTCCCAGAAGACTGTATCACTTACCTAATTAAAGTAAATTGCTTTTGAACCAGTCAGAAAGTTAAGTATTTTCAATGGAAGCATGAGATAATGGAAATTAAACTGAAATTTAGGTTGGGACATCAGTCTTTAATTCTTATTCATTTACCAACTGATAGTCCAAGTCAACATGTTTTTCTGAACCTAGGCTTCATGATGGGCTAAACAATCTCCAAGCCCCTAGCAGCTGTAAAACTTGTAATTTAAAATGATCATACTCTATCAGCAATCATCAAACATCATTAATTTACAATCAGTCTAAGAAATGTGACTATTACACTGCAGATATAATAAGATCAAATTGTTCCTCTTCAATATTATTCAAGTGTTACACACACAGACTTACATCATTTCCTATAACTTCTATGAGGAAGATACAAATATTTTGTTATATGAATTGGGAACAGAGAGGATAAAGTCTTTTATAATCCCTAAGCTATTTGCAGCAGAGAAAAAAAGTTATATACATAATCAATTACTACAGCATGCTACAGATGAGAACCTGAAACTTCTCAGCAAGGAGAAATACTGGAAAAGAAAGGTAATACAGAGTATATAGTAAGGAATTCTTAAATCTTTAACATGTATTACTGTTACTTAACTAGATTTATTTAACAGTCAGTGACCTGAGAAACCTTGCTTAAATAAATATTACAAAAGGAGTTACTTCCTCAAGAAGTGAAGTAGTTCTGTTACAAAATCTTAGGATTGTAAGTTTTATAAAGGCAAATACTCCATCTTTGCTGTTTTCACTCCACCACACTTTCAAATGGGGTAAAAGTGATATGGATGAGTTAATTTTTACCAACCTTGTCTAATCATTAGCTAAATGCATTTATATAATTCTACATGAATGACTAAATATATTCTTAATCCTCAAAAATTAGGCTACTAGTTTTATGAGTTAATTATGTTATGTGTCCCACATTCACATTTCATATTTCTAGAATTTATATTCAACTCATTAGCACTCATTTGAATATGTAATTCAACTTCTCTAAGCCTCTGTTTCTTTAAAAGGATGTTTTTGTATACTCGGTTTGGAAACATATAGTGGAGATTAAAGTAAAAAATAGTAGATAAGGAAAATGTTTATTATAAAAACTGTAATATTATCATCTTAAGAAACAAAGACACTTATTTATGAAAAAGCAGTTTTCAGAAATAGCTTTATTCCCCATGATATGTTCACTGGCAAAACTATTTGTTATGTGTTTGTATTTGTTTGGTCTTGAGAAATATAATTCTGATTTTTTTAGAGGCTAAAATGGAAAAAATTGTTTGCAAACTTGATAAAAATACAATTTTACTTAAAACAATGTATGA